TAAAGCAAACAGCTTAAGTCAGATTTTCATTCTTGGATTATTTGGAATCGTGCTGTGCCAGAGTGCATAAGTAGATAGCTCATCTTGGATTTTCATTCTTGAATCGAGATTTGGATTTCAGCGTGCATATCGTTCACACAAATTCCTATGCAAAAACAACAGTAACATACTAATGATTATGCAGTTCAATGCATCAAATCTGGAAGCTGTGCTTTAAATGGAGAGAGAGTTTTTACTGTCGATGTCTCATGTATTAATTGATTCAATATATGCATTGATACAGATTTTTTTATTATGTTCATCTTGTCAGGTTTCCACAGGGAAAATTGTTTTATTTTGCCTCTTAGGGTATGTCTACACTGCAGAATGTACCCATGTTCAGCTTCCATGCATGTGAATCTGTGTTTGTTATCCTACCTGAGAATGTCCATACAATAGGGCTACATATGTCCCACACCTGTGTAGCTGCATCCACAGTGGCACTATGTTGACACATTTAATGTTAGGATTTCTGGGGGCATATCCCAAGGTTCATAGCACCTCACTTACTGAAGCTGCTTTAGGGCTGGGTTCATGGTGCATTGTGGGAGAATATGTTTAATTCCCAAGTCCTTGTGCAGCAGCATTCTTAGCCCACAAACACACCTACCAGAGTCTGTTCCAGCTAGATCCAAGCCATGTATTTAGCACCAGGGGAAGAGCTTTTCTAGCTTGCAGCTGCATTGATCTGTGTAAACAGGATCTGTGAGGTGGAGCTGTGTGAGGAGCTTGCCCCAACCCTCCAGTCCCAGGACACGCACATAAGAGATGCCAAACAGGTCCAGAAGCAGGTTGCTGTTGCCATGTGGAAGATGGCTACCGCAGACTGCTACAGGTCTGTGGCTGACCAGTTTGGTGTCAGCAAGTCAACTGTCAGAGTTGTGGTAGTAAAGATTTGAAGCATGGGTTACCCTGGGTGGTGGCTATCTGAAATAATAGCTGGCTTTGGGAGGATGGGCTTCCTAAACTACACTAGGGCCACTGATGGCATTCCTGTAAATAGTCTGCCCACCATGAAGAGCACGTGAGTATATCAACCACAGAGGGTACTACTATATCATTATGCAGGCCTAGGTCAACTGCTGAAGCCAGGTCATAAATACTAACATGGGATACAGAGGAAAGGTGCACAATACCAGGGTTCTGAGGAGATCTGGCACTTACCTTTTTGGACAAACACTTTCCCTCCAAATGACATGGTTATCAATAGGATATCAGAGCCCACTGCTATTTTAAAGAACCCTCCTTGCCCTCTCCTGCTCTGGCTCATGAAACCATACCATGACCTCAGAAGGTCTAGCAAAAGAAGGTTTTATTACATGCTTAGCAGTTACAGGATGGCAGTGGAATGCATTTGGCATGCTTAAGGCAAGATGATGAAGCCTACAGAACCATTGTATGCCAGTGAGGCCATATGCTGTCCATATTATTGTGTGCCCTGTACAATGTCTGTGAGGCTAAAGACAAGTAATTTTGCATGGAGTGGTCTCAAGACACTGCTAGTTTGCAGGCTGGTATAGGCAACCAGAAAGTCCATCTGTTATCGCTGGGGCTCAGTCCAGGCAGACAAGGGAAATCAGAGATGCCTTGTGTGCTCACAGCCTAGTTTTGAAGAGTGGTGTAATGCTGTATATTCCTGTGGTATACACAGCATATTATTTGCTCCTCACTGCCTGGCTGCCCTGCAAGCTGCTGTTCCTGGTTGCCTTGTCAGCCGCTGTTCCTTGCTGCCTCCTACCAGCCGACTATTAGCCACTTTTGCTGACCGCTCCCGCCAGCCACCCATCAGTCAGCTCTGGCTGCCACCTGCCTCTCTGCTGTGACCCCTGTAGGTCAGTCTCTTAGTGATTTTTTTTTTTTTTTTTTTTTAGCTCTCAGCAGGCTGGGCAGAAACACTGCCTCATCACAAGTGATTTCAGCTTTCATTGAGTACTTAACAAAACAAAAGCCTTCTAATAAAGCCTATTTAGCTCTATCTTTTAACAGTGGGGAGGAACAGGTTAAACCAGAGTGGGAACCCTTAGGGAGAGTCCACATCTCCTGGCTGGGACACCTGTCCCACCCCTCTTACTTTCACAGTGGTCTGGCATTCGATCCCCTGGCTTAACAAGGTCCATTCAGCTGAGGGTGACACCCCCCCCCATCACCATTTGGGACAGGTTAAGCGCAGTTCTGCTCCCCTTTATTCATACAATAAAGATGACAACATTGATCACAGCATTTGACTACCTCTGCATTCAATGCTAAAGTGACTTGTAACCCAACACCAGCCAAAGTTGATCACTTTGAGCAACACGGCTCTATCTGCTGGATATCTAAGCAGAGTAGATGTGTTCGTGTAAATACAGTTTGCTCCTGAAGTCTCTCCATCTCCCGGCTAGCTGTCAGGGGAGAGTTCATTCAGACCCTGCTTAAACAAGCAAAAAAAAAAAAGCATACTATTTTACAACATAGAAAAAAAGAAGAAAATTCCCCCTTTTATGTTCTACATCATGGCAAGCTACCGGTTGATACTTTTATTTACATCTTTCTTCACCATCCTGTTCAGAAGCTCCTGCTAACATTGCCAGCCCACAGACACACTATGTTAAGAATTATATATTGAATGAATTAAAAAAAGTAATGAATAAACAACATTTTGGCCCTGACCAAGAGTGGGGGGTGGCACCTCATAAGGTTCCTGTTACAAGTACTGGTTTTAACATTATTTAAGACTGGGGAAGCCGTGGAGGATGTTAGCCTTTGGGGGTTTTCAGAGTGGAAAGAGCAGTTTCTTCTCCAGGCCAGTGGAGGAATTCCCTCTATCTGTGCAAAGGAGATTTTTCAGCATTTGCAAACTGAACAGTATATCAATGAGTGGAGATGATTAGTGAGCTACAGAGGCAGTATCGTAAGTTTGCCCTGCCCAGGAATCTGACCAACGGTTTAGAGTTTCTCTTTCATGAAAAGTTTTAAAGCATCACCACCCAGGAGGGGAAAATTTGAGGGAACATTAACAGGATGCTGAGCTAGGATTCAGAGGCTTGCTAGAAATGGAACTGAGACCCTCCCCCACCATCACCTTCCTCCCCTCCAGATTGGATAGCATGTGAATAGATAGGGGGCCAGGACACTGCTGTCCCTAAGAAGCTTTTCCATTCTGTTACAGCCATTGGCACTTATAATCCAGACTGTCTTGGACACTGCTGCAATGCTAACAGTGACCTAACTCTATACCAGCACACTGGGAGGAGAATAAGATGAAAGATGCACTCATGCTTGCTAATCTTATAATTCTGGTTCATTTTTTCTACCAGTAAGAGTACAATTAGTAAAAATCACTAGTTTCTTTAAATCCCCCTCTATGCACGCACCCCACACCTACAACCACACCCAGGTTGGATCCCATGTGGTGGTGGTGAGGCAATGGCAGGGCTTCTGTCCTCAACCGAAGCTAAATCCAACCCCCTGCATATAATATCCTTCATAACAATAATTGTATTGGTCATAGCCTGGAAATCCCTCCTACTTATGCTGCAATTTCCAATATAATAATAAAGATGGCAGATGCCATTTACCATGCTCTAAGTTCCACTGTGATACTGCTTCCTTTTCTGGGTGCCCCAAGTGCCCATCCCTAAACAGATATTTGGATCCCCTAGCTGATCCAGCCACATGGCTTGGTGTGAGGCCAATTCCAGCACCATGCTCTATTCCAGCTTCTAGTCTTCCAACTCTGTCCCCTCTGCCTCCAGGCTGTCCACTGTCACTGCCCCCATCCCCTCAGCCTGCTGTCTGCAAAATATACTGACCCCGCTCAAGAGATGGTTATGGAGAACTGTGGACTTTGTTTTGGGGGTAGTGGTGAGTACCCCCCTGAATTCTTCATAGTACAGCCATATAGTGGGGAGTTGCCAGACTAGCCAGTCCCAACCTTTGCCTTGCAGTAGGCAGACTGGAGGTGGGACGCACTGCACAGTATCTGACTGATCTCCAGCACTATGAGTCTCTTGAAGATCTTTTCATATAAGTGCAGGTTTATGGTGCTTCTTCCAAAATCAGCCCCTGAAGTTCTCACTAGACTTCATGGTTCCTCAAAGCTTCTTCTGGGGCCAGAAACAGATGCATTTCCTAAAAGCCAGTTTCAGCTCTTCTGTGCAGCAGCTGGATTGTATTGCTAGCAGTTTTCTCAGCCCCTTGCCTTAAGACAATCAGTTCTCTCTCCTTGGAACAGGAGCTCCCCTTCAGCCCTCTTTCTGGTATTGGGATTTTTGTCTCAGGCCTGTTTTAGGTTAGTCAGCTGCAAGACTTTTGCCATCTCCCTTCAGCTGAACACTGTTCCCAGTTACCTTCCAGTCTGGAGGGTTCAGCAGACCAGGCCTGTTTGACTGTGAGGGAGGATGCAGCTTTTAGGCTGTTCCCCTTCTCCCAACTCCTTCCCAATACTGTGCTTAAAGGTACAGTAACTGTCAAGGAACAAGAGAACAACTCAGACTCTAATGAAAGACTTGATACCAAGAAGATCAGAAAGGGAAATTAAATGTCCTGAAAGACTCTTAGAGACTTGCTAACCTTCCTGGAGAAGGGGTATTATAGGAAAGTGAGTGGTAAGGACTCATTCGAGAGTGATGTGCTGATAAATTCTCCTCTCAAGATAGCTGACACATTGGGTTTATGGAAATGTACTACATGGGTCGAGAATTTAATGTGTGGTGTTGTTGTTTGTTAGCTGTTTATATATGTATGTATGTAAGAGTTAATTTGTTTTTCTTTAAGAGGGACGATGTAAAGCTATATTTGTAGAAGATTATAATTTAGAATCACTCCCTCATAAGGGACAGTATTATGAACATAGGAATGTGCTCTCCAGGCAGGGTTTGGGAACATTGTGTGCAGCAACTCACTACAGAAGCTCTCCAGTTTGTTGTATTAAAGTTTTATTCCTTTCTCATTAACTGGTTTGTTGTTTAATGAACCCCAAGATGGTGACAGATTCCACGACCCACCCTCTATCCCCACAGCTCAGAAACTCTTCATGGGACTCTGGGCGATGAAGGAACTGAGCAGTGGGTAGAGTCACTCTGCTGCTCATACCTTTGGAAGGAAGTGAGAGGGCCTGAAAGGCCCATGTGTAACCTGTACTGGACTCTACTGATAAAACTTTCAAATTCCTGTATGGGGGGGTGAGCGCACCATGAGTGGGATCCACATGCAGAGAACTTCTTGAACAGTTACTATAAGGTAAGCAGCTGCTTTTTCCCTATGTCATGTCACCTGATTTGGAATATTTTATTGAATTAAGACTTTTAACTAGAAAATGGGGTGCAAATGTATTGACTTGTTAACTCATGTTTTCATTTTATCATCAATATACTGACTATTCTGCTGTAATTATGCAGAGATGGGTTATAAGAAACTAAATATTCCATTTATTCAGCATACACTTTATCTGGCTGTGATCAGCTGACACTGTTTTTGTTTGTTTCTTTAGACATTCTTTAGACATAATCAGTAACAATGCTTCTGAAATTTGTTCGTTGCTCTATTTGATTACTTCGAGCATTTCCTCTTCTAGTTCCACTTTCCTGCTTCGTGTCCAATTTTGTCATCTTAGCAAATTTGATCTTTCTGATGAAACCGATGTTTAAAAAGAAAAGGAGTACTTGTGGCACCCTTAGCCCTGGTCTACACTAGGACTTTAGGTCGAATTTAGCAGCGTTAAATCGATTTAAACCTGCACCCGTCCACACAATGAAGCCCTTTATTTCGACTTAAAGGGCTCTTAAAATCGATTTCCTTACTCCACCCCTGACAAGTGGATTAGCGCTTAAATCGACGTTGCCGGCTCGAATTTGAGGTACTGTGGACACAATTCAATGGTATTGGCCTCCGGGAGCTATCCCAGAGTGCTCCATTCTGACCGCTCTGGACAGCGCTCTCAACTCAGATGCACTGGCCAGGTAGACAGGAAAAGAACCGCGAACTTTTGAATCTCATTTCCTGTTTGGCCAGCGTGGCAAGCTGCAGGTGACCATGCAGAGCTCATCAGCACAGGTGACCATGATGGAGTCCCAGAATCGCAAAAGAGCTCCAGCATGGACCGAACGGGAGGTACGGGATCTGATCGCTGTTTGGGGAGAGGAATCCGTGCTATCAGAACTCCGTTCCAGTTTTCGAAATGCCAAAACCTTTCTGAAAATCTCCCAGGGCATGAAGGACAGAGGCCATAACAGGGACCCGAAGCAGTGCCGCGTGAAACTGAAGGAGCTGAGGCAAGCCTACCAGAAAACCAGAGAGGCGAACAGCCGCTCTGGGTCAGAGCCCCAAACATGCCGCTTCTATGATGAGCTGCATGCCATTTTAGGGGGTTCAGCCACCACTACCCCAGCCGTGTTGTTTGACTCCTTCAATGGAGATGGAGGCAATACAGAAGTAGGTTTTGGGGACGAAGAAGATAGCTCACAGCAAGCAAGCGGAGAAACCGGTTTTCCCGACAGCCAGGAACTGTTTCTCACCCTAGACCTGGAGCCAGTACCCCCCGAACCCACCCAAGGCTGCCTCCTGGACTCAGCAGGCGGAGAAGGGACCTCTGGTGAGTGTACCTTTTAAAATGCTATACATGGTTTAAAAGCAAGCATGTGAAAGGATTACTTTGCCCTGGCATTTGCGGTTCTGCCTTTGCAAAAGGTTTCTGGGGAGGGCAGCCTTATTTCGTCCTTCATGGTAGGACACTTTACCACTCCAGGCCAGCAACACGTACTGGGGAATCACTGTAGAACAAAGCATTGCAGTGTATGTTTGCTGGCATTCAACCAAAATCCGTTCACGCGGTGGGAGGAGGCAAAATGCGACCTTGTAACGAAAGCACATGTGCTATGTATGTAATGTTAACAGCAAGGTTTACCCTGAAAGAGTGTAGCGACTGTTTTATAAAATGTGTCTTTTTAAATACCGCTGTCCCTTTTTTTTTCTCCACCAGCTGCATGTGTTTCAATGATCACAGGATCTTCTCCTTCCCAGAGGCTAGTGAAGCTTAGAAAGAAAAAAAAAACGCACTCGCGATGAAATGTTCTCCGAGCTCATGCTGTCCTCCCACACTGACAGAGCACAGACGAATGCGTGGAGGCAAATAATGTCAGAGTGCAGGAAAGCACAAAATGACCGGGAGGAGAGGTGGAGGGTGAAAAGAGAGGGGGGCTGAAGAGAGTAAGTGGCGGGCTGAAGACAGGGCTGAAGCTCAAAGGTGGCGGCAGCGTGATGAGAGGAGGCAGGATTCAATGCTGAGGCTGCTGCAGGACCAAACCAGTATGCTCCAGTGTATGGTTGAGCTGCAGCAAAGGCAGCTGGAGCACAGACTGCCACTGCAGCCCCTCTGTAACCAACCGCCCTCCTCCCCAAGTTCCATAGCCTCCACACCCAGACGCCCAAGAACGCGGTGGGGGGGCCTCTGGCCAACCAGCCACTCCACCACAGAGGATTGCCCAAAAAAAAGAAGGGTGTCATTCAATAAATTTTAAAGTTGTAAACTTTTAAAGTGCTGTGCTTAAAGTGCTGTGTGGCATTTTCCTTCCCTCCTCCACCACCCCTCCTGGGATACCTTGGTAGTCATCCCCCTATTTGTGTGATGAATGAATAAAGAATGCATGAATGTGAAGCAACAATGACTTTATTGGCTCTGCAAGCAATGATTAAAGGGAGGAGGGGAGGGTGGTTAGCTTACAGGGAAATAGAGTGAACCAAGGGGTGGGGGGGTTCATCAAGGAGAAACAAACAGAACTTTCACACCGTAGCCTGGCCAGTCATGAAACTGGTTTTCAAAGCTTCTCTGATGCGTACCGCGCCCTCCTGTGCTCTTCTAACCGCCCTGGTGTCTGGCTGCGCATAACCAGCAGCCAGGCGATTTGCCTCAACCTCCCACCCCGCCATAAACGTCTCCCCCTTACTCTTACAGATATTGTGGAGCACACAGCAAGCAGTAATAACAGTGGGAATATTGGTTTCGCTGAGGTCTAAGCGAGTCAGTAAACTGCGCCAGCGCGCCTTTAAACGTCCAAATGCACATTCTACCACCATTCTGCACTTGCTCAGCCTGTAGTTGAACAGCTCCTGACCACTGTCCAGGCTGCCTGTGTACGGCTTCATGAGCCATGGCATTAAGGGGTAGGCTGGGTCCCCAAGGATACATATAGGCATTTCAACATCCCCAACAGTTATTTTCTGGTCTGGGAATAAAGTCCCTTCCTGCAGCTTTTGAAACAGACCAGAGTTCCTGAAGATGCGAGCATCATGCACCTTTCCCGGCCATCCCACGTTGATGTTGGTGAAACGTCCCTTGTGATCCACCAGAGCTTGCAGCACTATCGAAAAGTACCCCTTGCGGTTTATGTACTCGGCGGCTTGGTGCTCCGGTGCCAAGATAGGGATATGGGTTCCATCTATAGCCCCACCACAGTTAGGGAATCCCATTGCAGCAAAGCCATCCACTATGACCTGCACATTTCCCAGGGTCACTACCCTTGATATCAGCAGATCTTTGATTGCGTGGGCTACTTGCATCACAGCAGCCCCCACAGTAGATTTGCCCACTCCAAATTGATTCCCAACTGACCGGTAGCTGTCTGGCGTTGCAAGCTTCCACAGGGCTATCGCCACTCGCTTCTCAACTGTGAGGGCTGCTCTCATCTTGGTATTCATGCGCTTCAGGGCAGGGGGAAAGCAAGTCACAAAGTTCCATGAAAGTGCCCTTACGCATGCGAAAGTTTCGTAGCCACTGGGAATCGTCCCAGACCTGCAACACTATGCGGTCCCACCAGTCTGTGCTTGTTTCCCGAGCCCAGAATCGGCGTTCCACAGCATGAACCTGCCCCATTAGCACCATGATGCATGCATTGTCAGGGCCCATGCTTTCAGAGAAATCTGTGTCCATGTCCTGATCACTCACGGGACCGCGCTGACGTCGCCTCCTCGCCCGGTATCGCGTTGCCATGTTCTGGTGCTGCATATACTGCTGAATAATGCGTGTGGTGGTTAATGTGCTCCTAATTGCCAAAGTGAGCTGAGCGGGCTCCATGCTTGCCGTGGTATGGCGTCCGCACAGAAAAAAGGCGCGGAACGATTGTCTGCCGTTGCTCTGACGGAGGGAGGGGCGACTGACGACACGGCTTACAGGGTTGGCTTCAGGGAGCTAAAATCAACAAAGGGGGTGCCTGTACATCAAGGAGTATTTCAGGCAGGACTGCACGGAGGGTTCCAATAAGAAATGGTGCACCTAAGTTATCGTTGTTATTGGAACAAGGAGGTTAGCCTGGCCTCTGATTGATACATGGCTAGATTTACCTCGCTGCACCTTCTCAGTGAGTGACTGCAGTGTGACCTAGAGGAATGAGTCCCCTAGACAGGGGAGGAGGCAAATGAGTACAAAACAAATCTGGTCTATTTCTTGTTTTGATCCACTCCATCTATCTTTTACATCTTTGGCTGGCAGCAGACGGTGCAGAAGGACTGCATGCCATCCACATCTCATGGCTGCTCGGCAGAAGATGGTACAGTACGACTGCTAGCCATCCCCATCTCTTGCCTGCCTGGCAGAAGATGGTGCAATACGACTGCTAGCAATCCTCATCTCTTGCCTGCCTGGCAGAAGATGGTACAGTACGACTGCTAGCAGTCCGTATCGCTTGCCCGCTCACCATAAGACGGTTCAATAGGACTGACTGCAGGACTAAAGAGAATGACCTGGTCAAGTCACTCCAAATTTAGTCCCTGCGCCCATGTCTGCCCAGGCGCTCCCAGCCGACGCGGCCAGGAGCACCTCGGACACGATGAGGACGACTACCAGTCGTATTGCACCGTCTGCTGCCAGAAGGCAAGGGGTTGCTGCTACTGTGCAGCAAAGCCGTACCGCGTCTGCCAGCACCCAGGAGACATAGGGTGACGGTTACCTGAGCGGGCTCCATGCTTGCTGTGGTATGGCGTCTGCACAGGTAACTCAGGAAAAAAGGCGCGAAATGATTGTCTGCCCTTGCTTTCACGGAGGGAGGGAGGGAACGGGGGCCTGACGACACGTACCCAGAACCACCCGCGACAATGTTTTAGCCCCATCAGAGTGCTCCATTGTGACTGCTCTGGACAGCACTCTCAGATGCCCGATTGTTTGCCATTGCTCTGACGCTGGGAGGGGCACTTACAGGGTTGGCTTCAGGGAGCTAAAATCAACAAAGGGGGTGGCTTTACATCAAGGAGTATTTCAGGCAGGACTTCACGGAGGGTTCCAATAAGAAATGGTGCACCTAAGTTATTGTCCTTATTGGAGCAAGAAGGTTAGCCTGGCCTCTGATTGATACATGGCTAGATTTACCTCGCTGCACCTTCTCTGTAAGTGACTGCAGTGTGATCTAGAAGAATGAGTCCCCTAGACAGGGGAGGGGGGAAGCAAATGAGTACAAAACAAATCTGGTCTATTTCTTGTTTTGATCCACTCCATCTATCTTTTACATCTTTGGCTGGCAGCAGACGGTGCAGAAGGACTGCATGCCATCCACATCTCATGGCTGCTCGGCAGAAGATGGTACAGTACGACTGCTAGCAGTCCGTATCGCCTGCCCGCTCACCATAAGACGGTTCAATAGGACTGACTGCAGGACTAAAGAGAATGACCTGGTCAAGTCACTCCAAATTTAGTCCCTGTGCCCATGTCTGCCCAGGCGCTCCTGATCGACCTCACAGAGGCGACCAGGAGCACCTCAGACATGACGATGACGGCTACCAGTCGTACTGTACCGTCTGCTGCCACAAGGCAAGGGGTTGCTGCTACTGTGTAGCAATGCCGTACTGCGTCTGCCAGCACCCAGGAGACATAGGGTGACGGTTACCTGAGCGGGCTCCATGCTTGCCATGGTATGGCGTCTGCACAGGTAACTCAGGAAAAAAGGCGCGAAATGATTGTCTGCCCTTGCTTTCACGGGGGGAGGGAGGGAACGGGGGGCTGACGATATGTACCCAGAACCACCCGCGACAATGTTTTAGCCCCATCAGGCATTGGGATCTCAACCCAGAATTCCAATGGGCAGCGGAGACTGCGGGAACTGTGGGATAGCTACCCACAGTGCAACGCTCCGGAAGTCGACGCTTGCCTCGGTACTGTGGAAGCGCTCCGCCGAGTTAATGCACTTAATGCACTTAGAGCATTTTCTGTGGGGACACACACACTCGAATTTATAAAACCGATTTCTAAAAAACCGACTTCTATAAATTCGACCTTATTCCGTAGTGTAGACATACCCTTAGAGACTAACCAGTTTATTTGAGCATAAGCTTTCGTGAGCTACAGCTCACTTCATCGGATGCATAAAAGTGGAAAATGCAGTGAGGATGTTTTTATACACAGAGATCATGAAAAAATGGGTGTTTATCACTTCAAAAGGTTTTCTCTTCCCCCTCCCCACCCCACTCTCCTTCTGGTAATAGCTTATCTAAAGCGATCACTCTCCTTACAATGTGTATGATAATCAAGATGGGCCATTTCCAGCACAAATCCAGGATTTAACAAGAACGTCTGAGGAACGGGGGGGAGGGGTAGGAAAAAACAAGGGGAAATAGGTTACCTTGCATAATGACTTAGCCACTCCCAGTCTCTATTCAAGCCTAAGTTAATTGTATCCAATTTGCAAATGAATTCCAATTCAGCAGTCTCTCGCTGGAGTCTGGTTTTGAAGTTTTTCTGTTGTAATATTGCAACTTTCATGTCTGTAATCGCGTGACCAGAGAGGTTGAAGTGTTCTCCAACTGGTTTATGAATGTTATAATTCTTGACATCTGATTTGTGTCCATTTATTCTTTTACGTTGAAACTGTCCAGTTTGACCAATGTACATGGCAGAGGGGCATTGCTTGTACATGACGGCATATATCACATTGGTAGATGTGCAGATGAATGAGCCTCTGATAGTGTGGCTGATGTTATTAGGTCCTGTGATGGTGTCCCCTGAATAGATATGTGGGCACAGTTGGCAACGGGCTTTGTTGCAAGGATAGGTTCGTGGGTTAGTGGTTCTGTTGTGTGGTATGTAGCTGCTGGTGAGTATTTGCTTCAGGTTGGGGGGCTGTCTGTAGGCAAGGACTGGCCTGTCTCCCAAGATTTGTGAGAATGATGGGTCGTCCTTCAGGATAGGTTGT